ATACAAATAATCTATATTTTGAGCAATACGGTCAAAAAAGGTAAACGAAATCGATCCACATAGAACATTTAATCATTTTTAATCACTTGTTGGAGTTTTTAGTCTTCCTTTTACTATAAGTGACCTAAACATTTGTGATGTAATGTATACAAAATATATACTGTTATTCATTATTTTTTTATTGTTATTATATACCGTTTTTTATAAAAGTTAAGCGCATGTGCATTATAAACTAGACGTTCTTCGTATTGACTTTAAAGTTATAAGTCTTAAAAAACCCTAAACGTTAATAAGAACTCTCGCAAATGAATTTCCATGGAATGTGTTCTATTGTCGGTTGTATGATTTCTAATATTGTTAGTGCGTTTGGTGATCTTCCTTAGGTTTTTTCTTTAAAATAATAATGTATCCCATAATATAATGTTAGTTTAAACTATACGGTCACGAAAGGTAAACGAAATCGATCCTCATAGAACAGTTAATCATTTTTAATTATTTGTTAGGAGTTTTTAGTTTTTCCAGTTATATAAGTGACCAGGATATTTGTGATGTAATGTATACAAAAATATATGCTGTTATTAATCATTTTTTGATTGTTTTTATATACCGTTTTGTAAAAAAGTTAAGCGCTTGTGCATTATAAACTGGACGTTCCTCGTATTGACTTTAAAATTATAAAACTTAAACACACCCTTAACGTTAATTACAACTCTCGCAAATGAATTTCCATGAATTGTGTTCTGTTGACGATTTTTTGATTTCCTATATTGTTAGTGCTTTTGGTGACTTTCCTCAAATTCTGTTTTTCAAATAATTTATCCCATAAAATAACGTTATTTTAAACAATACGGTCACGAAAGCTAAACGAAATCGATCCTCATCGAAAAGTTAATTATTTTTAAATACTTTCCATTATTTTTAATTTTGTTCTTTGATGATTTTATTTTTCTTTATCCCTCTTACTTTTAAGATATTTAAGTTTTGATTTTAAGTTATAAATGATTTTGGAAAATTTTCAATTTCACGATTTTAGATTTTTTAGTATCATTGACGATGTCCTCTTCCAGAAAGATCTATTACATTTGAACTTTTCAAAACTTTTTTTTATTATCTTTTTGATCTACCTTCTTTCTGTATCTGTGCCACAACTTTTTAATTATGTTTGAGCATTTTAGGAATATTGATGATTTGGCTCTGTTTTTTGGTCATTCTGTTTTACATGGACGTAGAAAGTACATATTTGGTAATAAGATTTATAAAATCGTCTTTTGGAAATCGCAAAATTTTCGAAATCATAAGGCGACTATTTAATTTTTTTACACAGTTATAATTTTTTTTTATATATATTGTATTTTACGTTTATCCTAGATATTTTTTTTCGATGTATATATGTGGTAATTTTTTTGAATTTCATTTTTATCAACTTGGTTAATACATTCGTCTTACTATGATTCTTGAAACGGTTTTTAAAATTAAAAGGATTAACCTGGTAAAATACAATTTTTTCACAAATTCGTTTATTTTAAATAATTTCCAACAAACGTTGTCTACCACAAATATTACTTTTATGAATAATGACAAGAAGCCTTTTTTGTTAAATTTTTAATTTTTAATTTAATTTAATTTAAGTTTTTTAATCTTTGAACTATGCTTCATAATTATCGAGAAATAACTTAGGTGGTTGTGTGGGATGGCTCTTTATATATCTTATATTATATATTTCTATAATTATTATGTATTTTTCGTATTACCTATTAATTTTTTGTTTTCCGGAGTTTTTTTCAGGTACAATGCATCTCGATTTCGGGTCGTCATGTTTCGAGGGACCACTGTATAGGTACAACGTTCTACCCACACGTCCTTCATCCTTTTCCCCTTTTCAAGGAGTAAAACTATAATTATACCATATAAGTACGGTTCATGTGTTTTTCAAGTGGCGATATACTATACTACGTATTTGGACGTAGTTATAATACAGTTTATATTAATTTAAGGCAACCAACTTTACTTTCCGTTCACATTCACTTCGTCGTTATATTGCCATGAATAATTGCTTTTCGAACAACTTATTAATTTAATAACACAACTAATATGATATGAGTGTGCCTGTATTATACGTTGATGGTTATTTCGAACTTCGAACTTATTAATAAAAACCGTTGTTATTAATTCAGTTAACTTAACATGGTTTCGTGCAGTGTTCGTTAACTTCCTCAACATACCGTGCCATAAACATATAAAATTATTATAACACGTTGTAATGCGTGCTGTATGCGAAATATGATCAAACGGTGTCCGAACTAATTAAAGGAAAACTAAATAATATAATATATTACATTTGCATATTATTTGATCTTGAATTTGAATTATTTACTAATTTAAAGAAGTTATCATTTTCAAAAATTGTCTATAAAAATAAAATATCATTAAATTTGTATAGAAATAAATGTACGTTTTATTAAATTTGATTTTCGTAAGAGGACAACGGTTTTAACAATTAATACCAAATTCGGCAAAAATTAACAACTGCAGAGTAAAAAAATAAAAAAAATACCTATAAGAAATCAAAAATAATATTTTCGATATTTTTGTTTTCGCTATCTAGGTTTGAATTTTAATATCATTGTATACGGAGTGCAGATTTTTTATTATACAGTTTTGAAAAAGAAGAAAAAAATACGATTATATTACGATATAATATTTCAAATGTTTATATTACATTACGTACCATTGAACTTTGATTGTTGCCGCTGGAAATCGTGTAAATGTAGACATTAAAAAAATAAAAAAAACATGTATTCAACCGTTTAAATTTTTCTTTCACGACGACCCTTTAAATATTTAACCATTACAGCTGCGCCGCACACTCAACAAAATATAATGATACTCTTTGTGGCGAAAACTATTCACTCATTCGTGTTAAGAACAGCTATTGTATCGTAGTATAACACGCCACACACGCAGTTAAAAAGTGAACTTTACCGTTACTGTCTATATTATGTATTATAATATTTAAGCATTCGGATAAAGGGATAAAGCGTATACAGAAAGTTTGAGAATACAAGTTACTGAGAATATTTGAAAAAAAAAAAATAATAATAATAATAAAAGTTTACGATGGAACTACATAAATGAAACTATAAAAATTTCTGTTGCTGTTTTATGTACACATACCTTTATAATATATATATATATATATTATTTTTTTCATCGTCTTCGTTTTATGGCGGCGGCGGCGGCGGCGGTATAGGTATATACAACTATATAAGACGACGAATTCAAATATAATATCGTATACTGTAGCAACAGTAACAGCAAGTGAATATTGTGATTTATAATAATGCGATGTTAGGCAGGACGATTCTAGCAGGAGAATTGTTATTATAGCCAATCGATTGCACTGTCAGTTACTATAATATGGGTAGGCACTCTTGGGATTTTAAAACCGGAGTATAATGTCTTTTTTTTCTTTTAACCAACAAAACGCTAAACGAAATACACGTGTGTATTATTACGATTATATTTAATTATTTACGAGTGCATATTTTTATCACGATTCGGACGATTCATATTGTTGCAAAATTATTTCAATCGGTCGCGAGTAAAAATCGTGTAATAATCTACATGGGCTCAGTTTGAGACGTTTATTAAATAAGAGTTGCATCTTATAGAGATTTGTATTTCATCTATATACAGAATTCTCAGATTGTCTTCAGATACTTGTAATAAATCTCTATGTATACAAAGGTGCAGTACAACACTATAGTGAAAAAAATATAGGTCTTTACCGAATAATTTCGATACTGCGCTCGACCGTTTTCCAATATTTAAACGGATCTCCGTTGCTCACGCTCCGTGTAATTTATACCACCGCACTCGGTTTCACATAATTTACGTGTATACAAAAACATTTATATTTTATGTATATTTTCTCGTGCGTGAACTTTTGTCCGTGTTTCTCTTCCCGTTATTTCTCGTCCGTTTTCTCTCTATCGCGTACGCGCACACACACGTGACGTTTATACAGCCTTTACCGCCGTTACTATATCGCATTATATACGCGGAAAAGGACATTCAAAGGGCCTTGGCGGTAAAGTTGCTATACGTCACATAATATATTACATAAAACGGTGGCGGTATTATAATATAACCGTTGTCGTAAAATGATTTATTGCCTGGGGTTTGATTCTCCTCGCCTCCGAGAACTGGAGGATGGTTTGCCGTTCGTTCGTGATACGTGTACGACTCGCACGCGCGCACTTGCACACGTTTGCGAATTAATCAACCGGAACATTCACGATTCGACTTTGCACACCGATGGCCTCGGGATATTCTTTGGCGTCGATATAGGACGGGGGATATTATTCTGCACATCGGTATATATAATATACTATGCAGTATTTTTTTTTGTTCTTTTTTTTTTTTTTATCAGATTACCACTACCATTTTGACTAGAGTGGGATAAACTCTCCTTTTTGGTTTCTTTCTATTCACGTGTTTCAGCTCTCGTACAACTGCGGTCTTTCGTACGAAAATGCCGATAAAAACGTTTATGTTTGGGTTACACACGGTGAAACACCGCAACACCGATCGATGCTTCTCAAAGGACGGGGAGATACAAAAAAGAAAAACGTTCAATGGAGTATATTTTACAACGTGCAAAAGAGTGAAACAATTTTTTTTTTAATTTGAAATAGTAGTTTTAATGAATGCTCTTCGCTGCTGTACTCTTAGAATTGTGCATTTTACGTAAAAACGGATTTCTCTTAGCGTGCCCATAATATGCATAGGTATTATTTAATCTGAAATTTACAAAGAGACGTTTTTTAAATTACTGCATTATATACATTATGTGGTTATTCACACATACATTTTGGATATAATTTCTACCTTTTTTTCATTGATTTTTGATTTTAACTACATTTTAACTACTCATTTTTACTACATTTTCTTTTTAATTTTGTGGTATATTTTATATATTCGTCCACTGATGCTGATTTCATCATCTTAATACTATACAACACAACGTTTACCCAGTCAAGAGCGATCAGGTTTTGAAAGGGATTTATTAGTAACCAAATACGAACGTTAAATTTCAATGTATTAATAATTGGATCGTATTTCGTGTTAAAAAGTCTGACAGTTCTCGCCTTTTCTACTTTCTGTTCTAGTCACGAAATTCCATAGTATTTTAACTATTTAATCTACAAAATTTGTTTAAAAATCTGTGTTTTTTTCAACATTTTGCTCGTTTTTCTTTTCTCTCTGGACTCGTTCGATTTTTTTCTAACGGCGATTTCAAAAATATTGGTAGAAACTGCCCACGTGTTTCAAGAATATCAATCAATATTCAATTTCTTAAAGTAATTTTTATATATTATATTTCAAAATATTTTTAACTGCTATATATTACGAAAGAAACCGTGAAAAAAAGATTGATGTGAGCCGGATATATCTGGCGGAATCTATGATACCATGATAAAAATGGCAACTGAAGTACACCCACAAGGAAAAATATTGTTTAGTAGTAGATGAGAAGATTTTATAAGAAAATGAGAGATTGATAAAAGCGATAGACTCAAGATTTAATTCAAGCAAAGTAACCGAACTTTGAGGAAGATTTAGAAAAGTTAGTTTTACGAGATAGCCTTAAAAACCGGAAACAAAATATCAGTTATAAATCCCGCAGTTGCATAACTTAAAATTATTAAATATAATGAATTCTTTATATATATATATAAAAAAAAATATATATAAATACGATTTTCAACATTTTGACGTCACTATGGAAATCGCTATACGGTTATAATGTTCGTTGTCCTAGTTGGACGTTCAGTGGTTGATGGTCGATACAATGTATAGCACCAAAAGTATCCAGGAAGAATGTTTATTCGTTTCTGTCGTTTATTACAGAACATGGATTAGGCCTACTGGGGAAACCATGTAAAAAAAAACGCGCCTAACATTCTACCTCAGAGGTGGTGAGGAAATGAATGTATCACGATATTATTACAAAATTTGTTTAACCCTGTGTGGTTAAGGCCCCGTGTAGAAAATTATCAAATATTATTAGAAACAATAATAAGATAATATATTTACGAATAATTTAATTTGTATATTCACTGATAAAAATTAATTTGTCATAATAATAAAGACATAATATAAATAGCCACAAGCCCACGAATTTTATTCATAATATCTACTTAGGTACTACTTGGGACTACCTATCTGTTATTAAAGTTTAAAAGATATTTGGCTATTAAAATACTTTTCGAATAAATCAAATTTTAAAACCGTAACTATTATAGCCTTACAATTTAACCATGTATAATAGAAGTGTTTATTTGATAACACATTTCCTTTATAAGCCATCTGGGAGGTTATGTTCTCAAGGGCGAAGGGAAATGGGATATGAGAGATCGTGACGCCCCGTCATTGTAATGATATATAAACGTATTTTTGACCCATGCACCCATTTTGATATATCTTTGATAACAAGAGAAACTCATCTAATTTAATATATATTGGATAAAAGTAAAAGTTCATGAAACGTAAATGAAAGCAGCATCAATAGTGTACGTGAATACAACGAGAATTGGTTAAAAATCAAGGACCAGATCGCTCTGGTTAAGATAGACACTTTTGGCCGCATTCAGTTAATATAGGTAACCGAAATGGCTCTGCGCCATGCTTCAGAAAAGGTAGGCAACGTAGTTGACTCGTCACCGTTTCAACTATAGATAGGCAATTAGCATTCGAACTACTTTTTACACCAGCTGGACGGCCGACGGATACGATTACAACGGTGACGACGACAATGATGCGGACAACACATAGAAATGTATAGGCGACGAAGGAAAGACATTCGATGTTGTTACGTACGGAAAAAAGGAACGATGAGGTGGAATATTGGAGGACCAGCTAAAGATCAGTGATGCAATGACATCCGAATGGACGGTCTGTCAGATTACCTTTAAAATTAATATTACAAATAAAATATTATGACCCGTTCTGAAGGTGAACTGCTGGGCGTTTGACTCCGGTTCGGCGAAATACGAAATTGGACAAACTGTGTAGCCACGACATCCAACACACAATGGTCAGCTGTGTATTTATGTTTTAATTCTGGCACGACACTCGATCTTTGGGCAAACGAGTGGCAAACCAAATAATTCAACAACAGTCGACAGAGAGGTCCGGAGATTGACCAATGGACGGCGGGAAACAGGACGACGATGAATTATTTATCAACCGTGAGAAGACTATGTTCGTGCTCAGTGGCGCAATTTGATAACTAGGGGCCCATGTGAACATTTCCAGACTGGGGCCCTTATACTTGCTAATAAAAATGAAAAACAAACATACCTTATTATTATAATTCTAAAAAATACGGTTTTTTCACATGTCATTGTTAATAATTATTATTAGTTATACATTATATGACTTACACTTATATACGCTAACATAATTATGTATAATAATATAGTATAACAATAATGTAAAAAGTTTCAATTATAATCTATATACTCTATACCTACCCATATTCCGATGTCCGGTACCTATAAAGTATGCGGTACACAGGTTTCTTACATAGGTACTCGTAAGACGTAATTCAAATTATCCATAACTCGAAAGAATAAAGACATTATTATTTATTGTTATTGAAACAAATAATATAATATTTGCAGGGGAGACGGGGGCACATTAATACAATAGATAACAGAGAATAAAATTTAGCGGTTCATACCGATATGCAACGATATACGTACTGTTAAATGTAACGTTTTCATTCTGTAGCGATTTGATACTAATAACCTGAATCATGTTTATCAATATTTTTTGTAATTTTGCCATCAAAACGAAAAAAAAAATGAGGTAGGTCTATAGGTGGAATATTAGGAATATCGTATATGAGATCTCGCCAGCCCCCTCCTAAAAAAAAAAACCGGAGGCCCCTGTGAATTGCACACTCAACACTTCCGATAATTGCGCTACTGTTCGTGCTCGGTCCATCGCGTGAAAGAATTTACGGAAAGATAATAGATAATAAAACGAAATGGGCGTTACATGAAATAGTAAAAGAAACGAATTTTATTGCCAGAAATTATGTTTATATTTTTAAGTGACAAACTGACAACTAAATAGGTAAATACAGGGTGTCCCACGAGGATTTGACAAATGCAATTATTTTTGTTCTATTCAATATTTTTGATATATTTTGTTTTTAAATAATTAGTAAGTATGCCTCTGTGTTACAGTTTATGTATAAACATTTTTTTTTTTTTTAAGGAGAGGGGAACCTAAAATAAAAAATTTAATATTTGACTATAATTTTTTTTAAAAACTTCAAAATAGTAATATTACAAAATTGATTTTTTGGCAATTCTTGGTAGGTTGTAACTTTTGTTAAAGCATGGTCTTTTATTTTCTACAATTTTTTGAAAATTCGAATGATATTCTTTTCAATCATAACAATATTATTATATAATACAATAATATCAAAACAAATAACCATTGTTGATTGATTGATACTACCTAATACATATAATATGATAATGTTATTGCATGATATTAACTCATGTAAAAGAAAATCATTATCATGTGCACTAACTAATAACTGATTAAATACTGTAATATTCATATTTGCAAAAACTTCAAAAAATCGTAGAAAATAAAAGACCATACTTTAACAAAAGTTTCAACCTCCAAAAATTAAAAAAAAACCAATTTTCTTTTATTATTTTCGGAACATTTGAAAGAAGTCATTTTTCTAAAAATTTTGACGTTTCAAATTTTTATTTTCATTAATTTCTTGATTTTTAATAATTTTTTAAGGTCCAGAGAAAAATTATGTCGGTACAGTCAATGAGCTGTAATAATAAAAGTTATGTAATATTAATTATTATTCCGATTACCTAATTTGTTTTACTAATGATGGCTAATTTTAACAATTGTCTTTTCTACATAATATCATATGGGATCACACAGTGATCCCACATAATCAGAAAAACTGACGAAAAACGGGAAAATGTACGAAATATATTATTAAAATATAACAATTTTTTTTTCTGTGCACAACTTTTCGACCAACAATTTTGCACCAATTTTTTAATGAAAGCAATTATTCTAAAAGAAAATTCAACTGGAGAGGTACTTTAAAGAGGTTATTTTCTGATTTTCTTAGGAGTTATCCCATCAAATTTGAAGAACTGAAAAAAAAGGGGGAAATATAAAAGAGGTATTAGTTAGGTTATTAGTTAGGTATTGGTTAAAATATATTATGATTTATTTTTTTCGCGCACAACTTTTCTACCAGTAATTTCGCGCCAATTTTAAACGATAAAACGATAGCAATGTTTCTAAAAGGAAATCAAACTGGGGAGATAAAGTACCTAGGAAGGTCATTTTTTGATTTTCCAATTAATTTTCATAATATCAATAAAACTCAGGATAAAACGTAAGAAAAACGAGGAAATTTACGAAAATAATGATTTTATTATTTTCAATTTTGTTTTTTGTTGTAATTAAGTTTAAAATATCTATAGAGACTTGAAATTTGGATAGAAGACTTATGTATGCCTTTTTTTGACGTAGTAAAACTGTTGAACAATTTATAGACATTTTATTTTTTATAATTTTGTGAGTTTTGTATGTAATTTTTTTTCGGTAGGTACTTTGTGGATACAATTGTTATATCAAAATGAAATGCTTGATAATTGAATATGAGATTCATAAAAAGTCGTACTCTGTGGTAAAAAAAAATGTTGAGCAGTGGCTAACTGGCTTATGACATTTAATATTCATTAAAATGATAACATTAATATAGACAATATTATTGATCAAACCACTTGCAAAAAAATACTTAAATAATAGTATTTTTGACTTGGTCATCTAAGTTTTATTAATTGTTATTATAATTATTTTTGTTATTCATATTATCATTATTTAATTATTATTTATTTTATGTGAAAAAAAAATTAACTTTTAAATTGTAGTTTTTTACTGTAATTGTACAATATATCTACATTATACAGTTTTTTATATACGTTATATAAGTAATATAAGTTAAAATGACAGCAGACATGAAGGTTTTAAGTTTTTGTTGACCAAAGCGGTGGTATTCAAGAGTAAAAATTGTTTGCTATTTTCTTTATGGTTATTATATTTATTAATTAATAATAATAATAAAAAAAAAAAAAAACAATAATAAAAACCATTATTTTATTTTATTCCTTATCCCAAACTTAAAAGCTAAAAACCTATATGACAAATGTGACATTAATTTCAAAAAATTAAGATCATGAACTTAATATTATATTTTTGATTTTTTTTTTCTCAAAAATGAAGTCAACATAACTAATATAAAAAAAATAATAATAATAATATGAATCCACTGTATTAATAGAACTTATATTTAAGAATACTATTTATTTATTTACTTAGTTACATTCTTTTTATTTTTTTTTAATCTAACATTTGATTTAATAGTATGTTGTTTTGCATTTGATTTGAGTAATGTGCAATTAATCGTCTGATGAATTATATGCAATGTAACATAATTGCATTATGTGATTAAAAATAATTATTGACCCAATGTCTTAATGTTGACACCCAATTAGATTAGACATTATACAATTGGATTATGCAGGTCCTATTAAAAAGAAAATGTATCTAATTATTACAGATGTTTATAGTAAGTGGATAATGATTTTCGAGGTATTTACATAATATTAAACATTTTACAATTCCGCTGTATCATTCCGCGAGCAATAGTGCAACTGAGAATTCAGTAAGACCTTTCAAAACATAAGAACCAGATATAGCTGTCAAAGATAATACACAATTGAATGCAAGCTTAAGTCAAAATAAAAATTAAAGGGGCGACTTAATTAAGAAAATATTCAATATTAACGATAAGGTTTATGCAAAGGATTATTATAGACCAAATAAAAAAGGGTGGATTAGATGTGTAATATATGAAGTTCTGAGTTAATCACATTATTTATTCACAAAGTAACAAAACGATGGTAAATCTAATTGAAAAAGAAGTGACAGAGGAAGTAACGAATATAATGACACAGTTGTAAATTCCGATGAGGTTGAAATAAATAAATTGGAGCTCAATAGGAATGAAATAGAGGAAAGACCCAAGAGAAAGACCAAAGCACCAATTATGTACGGATAATGCACCACTTAAATGAACTTAAGTAACTAAATAATGTAAGGGGCAAGTATGTGTAATGTCTTTGACCTAACCTACCCTTAATCTTCAATATCATGTGTACTGCATGTTTATGTTATGTTTCATATTTATTATTATTATTATATATTTAGCGGTGCGCTCCACACATGTTTTTTCTGTAATGTTTTATGAATAATAAAATCTCCTTACTCTACTGTAAAAACTACTCTTTTCTTTTTTCTGAAGGTGTTTCGGGTCACGGCAACCCAAACATCACAACCGATTTGTTGAGATCTGGAAGAACTCGTACACACCCGTCCGCAGCACTTCATTGAGCGGAGGATTTACTGACGAGTCTTGGCGCTCCACACGTGATAATGCGATTTTCGTTCCCAACTGTTGGATTTTCTCCTGCAATCCTCTGATCGGCTTCAGTAACTCACCATAAGACGGAGCTACTAAGTCACTGGGCTCCATTCTCCGATAACACGTAATTTACTCCACTTTTATCACATCAACAACTCCAAATACCTATGACGGTAAACCCACGGTTCCGAACTAATTGTGAAATGGAATTATTTTCGAGAAACATTCTTATCAAGCATTAACTTTTTTGGGTACATTTTTTTTTTTTTTTTCACTTTGCAATTCTACGTCATAATTATTTTCCTTCGCACTAAATTGTTTTGGGGTGAAACTATTACTCATTTTTGATTTTCAAGCAGCATTTAAAAATTCCATTAATAAATGGAGTTTTAATTTGAACATAATATTTTTATATTGAAGGCCTTCGCGGTTTTATTCCGAACGGTTTTGTGAGTGGCTCGATTTTCTCGAATCGCGGAATGCGCTTTTCCGACACTGAATACATTCAATATCATAAAAATGCCCGTACTCGTACGTACCCATAGATATTAATATTATATTACACGCATTGTATTTAACATCTAACTCGACTTTCCTAAACTGTTATTGTAGAGGAAAAAATAAATATGTACCGAATTATTATAATATACGCTTGTTCCGGGAATTGGAAATACGATTCGATGGGACAAACGATTGAAAAATATCGATATCCTCGCTGATCGCACGCCCTCGCGCCGTTTTTATCGTTTCGACGGCAAATAAAATACCGTAATAATATTGTACTATTGTCGGGTATTATACGGTGGCGGGGGGGAGGGAGATCATCTCGTTGCGGGGGCGACGATCGCGCGGTAGGTCCGCAGGAAAATTTGCATAACGACTGCAGTGTTATATTATAATGCAAGTATTTACTTGTATAATAATATTATTATCGTCGCATACGCACCGATAAACAGTACACACGACGAATCGGTTTTCTTGGAGTAAAATATTATTATTATCATGTTTTTACGAGTAAGGTAAAACATAATAAAATATTGAATTATATTATTATAGATCCGTTGTTTGCGTATATACGGCCGGGACGTCCGTTAAAAAAAAAAAAAAAAATAGTTTAAACGGCAAACGGGGCGAACGGCTGAGGGCACGGCGATAATATACACGTAAGTACCTTTATGTGTACCTAATCAACGCAGGCGCGGTAAGAACAAATTCACACAAGAGGGGGGTCGCGCGAGAATCGATATTTTTGTTGTTTCGTAAATATTGTCGTGTATTGTGCATTTAGTATCTGCGTGAATGTCGCATCGAATCCCCCACGCCCACCTCACACCGGGTGGTTAATTGTTGCTTTTGCCGTACGTATAATAACCGTATATTATACATATACACTATCATACTGTTCCCATATTAAGTTTGAATATTACTAGATAATCTGACGGCGTATGTAATATACAAAACTGAAAAAATATTCCGGGAAGCGTGTTTAACACGTGAATGTACTGTCCGATAATATATCGTTCTGAATGCGACTATTTTTTTTTTTTTTTTATTTCTGGACCCGGTCTCACTCATTTTGTCTCCGTTCCTCCAAAACGGTCACTTTAGCCGCTTATTATACCGAGTGACGGAATTCGTAAATCCGCATGTATAACCAACCACGGCGCGCTATTTTCTTCAATGGATAATAATGTATAATTTAGTTTTAATTTTCGGTGATTTCGTAATCACGCAGTTATAGAGGTGCCAACGAGATTTCCAAAAGAAACTCGTTTTAATCTTGACTTTATTACCGTGAATAAAAATCGTATGACTGCAAAGCGTCCAATTCCATGCGTTTCGAAAATAATAAAAATCCGTTTGAAAACCAATGACTTTTTATTATAATACATATACCATATACCAGTTTTATAACTTGACTCTAAAATTCCATATAAATGTAATCGCTGATTCGCGATAAAAGAATCGCCGTGCGTTGTCGCCATGTCTGCCGATGATCTATAATAATGCAATATTATTATAAGCGAGCTTGCATACAGATGTCACAAACGACACAATAAAATATTGTTACTCCACGTGCGGACAACATAAACGGAACGGCGACCGTCGTGTCTCCGTCGTAGGCAATAAGCAGAACTAGCTGTTTGTTAAACAATAATAATAATAAAAAAAAAAAAAAAAAAATATGTCAATACGATTGACAAATATTATTACTACGCGAGTCGCATTTATTATTGGTACTGTATCAATATTGTTTCATGGGAAGTGGGCACACAAACATAGCGATAATGCAGTATACGGATCAAAATAAACCCAATAAAAACGTGTTTCGATTGCGAACAATCGTTTTGAATTAAATGTATATATATTAAAAAATACCGTCGGACCGAACGGGAAGGAGAAGAAAATACACTGTTCGAACGTCCAAGTCAGAAGTATAATAATAATATACGCTCGTTCCTGTATAAACTTGTTTCATATAATATGCGAGCATATTAATAAACAAATAAATACAAACGTTGAAGATTTTAATACTATATTCAATTAAAAGTCATCAATCGGTACTTGTTTCGTAGTCATATTTAAAATCGAAAAGTTGACAAATCTACACGCGGACATACTTAAATTCTATACTGTGCGTCTCGTCTTTTATGTACCACTAATCATCTCGGTGCGATAGTCTTTGATTGCAATGGGATTTTCGGGTAGGTGATGTAGGGTTACCGAAATATGCACTTTGAGATAATTTTCAATTTTACCTTTTAACCCTACAGTGTGAACATTAAATTAACTTTATTTGAGTAGCAGTCCTAATTTCTGTCACGAGATATGGATAGATTATTTATTTTTCGAAGTCATATACCATAGCCGTAAATCTAAAATTGATGAGAGTTCATTTTCCCAAAATTTTTGGCGGCTTCGTACTTGATATTATCTACAGCGTAAAATATACCCGAAGAGTCGCATTCGCATGTTTAAAAGACGTAGGTGCACATGCAGTGATTTACATAATGGCTCGTCCTGTATAATATACGTAACAATAATGCAAATTGTCTTTACTTCTAAAACATTACATTTCTTAAAAGTTGATTAGACATATAGCATAGTAACACGTATAGTAGGTAAAACAAATATCATTTTCTCTGACAAAATCGAATGTTTTTTTAAGTCGTAAAAATATAACGGACATTTCCAATAGTTTTTTTTACTCACTGGACGAAACTATTTTTTTTTTTGTAAACCCATTTTTTATAAAACCGTAAAAACAATTCATATTCAAAAAGTAAAACATTGGTTTTTTTTTTTACTAAGTAGATACTCTACATTAATTGTGTATTATTTTTGTGTGTACGTATTAGTTTTACTCACCGTACTACAATTATAGAGGAATTAATAAATAATATTCGCCTTGTACATGTTGGTAATATTATATTAATATGTATAGATTCTGGTGCTTACATCCTATATTCTTACCTATGATAATATTATAATCACGAAAGTTTGTTCGAACGAGACTTTGCATAGATGTATTGTTAGATCACAAATAACATATAGGCTCCTTTCTCCCTCCAGTATTCAAGCAATATAGGCGGAAGGGTGGGGATGACACAGGGTTATTAGTTATTTTAATACTAAAATCAAAGTTTTTTTTAGATTCCGAGTGAAGCGAGGGATCTATTGGTTTTAGGGGTTTTACTACGATGTGTATTATTTTTTTCTGTCTGTAAACAATTTTTCTCCTAAAAATCTTGCTCCAATCAAAACATAACAGGAGACATTTTTTGTTGGATATTGACTCTAGTTGATATTTAAGAGAAATACATTTTTTTAAACACTCATTAATATTCTAGTTAATGAGTTAAAATTGGTTCTTTAGGTTAAAAAAAAAATAAAAGATTAAAAATAAAGTTGTCATTGGAAACCGATTTTATTTATTTTTATGTTTTTGTTATTTTAATATTTTTATCTTTTTTAAACAATTGTTGTTGTCGTAAATATTCAGTTTTTTTTATCATTACTTTAATTGAACATTTTTTTTTCACTCAGAAACATTTTTCGTTAGCAATATTAATAGTTGCTTACAGGTATAAATTAAATAACTCTATAAATCCTACCTTCCCAACTGTACCCTCCTACAACAGTGGCCGCATTCGACCCCAGCATCAGATATTTTTTAAAATTATTTTTAAGTTACCTCAGTGATACGAATGAAATAAAAACAAGTTTAAACAAACAAATAAATATTATTATAGTTGGTATGTTAAGGTTATCTTGGCGTAGGGATGATCGTTTTCCATTAATTATTTTGGCATGGGCAACGCCGAGTGGGACACCTAGTTATCAAATAATATATACATAGTTAAATAAGTGGATACATTAACGCGAAACCGATTGGGTCTCTAAACCGATTTAAACTTTTAGTTGAAGAACAACGGGCCTAATTGACATTTTTTTACCTACCAATATTAACGTGTTGCTGTTCACAGTCATAATATTAGTCTGTATGGAAAGGAGAATAATATGTTTACGTTCGGACGAAATTCATATGAAAATTGGATTTTATAACGCAATGAGTTTGCTACGATATTTGAACTGGCATCAAGTAACATTATTATTTTCAATATTGTAAAATGTTATCATAATTTATTGTTAAGAGTAATAATTGTGTAATATTAGAATTGGCACTTAGTCAATTGACCGGTCAAAATAATATGGTCAATTATAATTAAATGTATCTATTTAAAGGGCTAGGATATGTATGCAGGGCAGATGACCAAATTATCAAGCAAGAATTGATGGAGGAAATGAGAAGTAAAAGACTTCTAGGCAGACCTAGAACAGGATGGAGGAACATTCCAAAAAGGAGTGTGGATAAATATGTTATACAATTGAGAAGAATGGAAAAGGGTTTAATTTTTTTTCCGTTTGACGTTTCCGTATCAAAAAAACCTTTTCATTTGTTTCGTGTAACGTTTTCGTACATTATATCAAGCAAATTGATTCGCCTTCTTATCCAGCAACTTTTGGGCGTTTTGTAAATTATATTATAATTATAATTTTACTCGGGTTAAAATTTTTTTAAATAACATAACATATTGTAATTGTTTACATAGACAATTAAAATCAATATTATTACAAAATGCATTATTATATGTTTTAAGGCGTTTAACTACTTTCTGTAGACGCTGTAATGTAAACTGATAAATTGCTATTAGACGATTTAATTTATATAGTACATTAGAGGGAAGTGAGGGAATGATTGTCAATCTCTCACGTAAAATAAATATCAAGTAAAAACGTGTAGGAAAATTTTGTTTTTCGTGTCCAAATGTGTTTTCAATTTGTTTTATGCAACACGTATTTTCAAAACCTTTTTCAAAAACTTTTACCCCCTATAAATAACAAAATTCTTTATTTTGCCGTTTACGAATTGCACGGTTGATTTTTAAAATTATTACAGCAGATACCGTTAAAACTGTCGTTGCCGACTGAAAAATTAAGAAGAATATTTTTTCTTTATTAAATCTATATTATAATATTCGGAGAAAAATAGACATAATTTAAGTCCCAAGAAATGGTTGGATGATTAATTAATTCATTTTTTTTTTCTTTCTGCCAAATGAAATATTAACAGCGGAAAAAAAGGCTATTTCATTTTTTGAAGAAAATTGTCCCGCCCGTTATTGATACTTATTGTAGGTATACTATTGTATACCTGGTATTGTTTTCATAATTGTGTCGTCTTCTAAAATGTGTTTATTATCGTTTTTCGCCCGTATCGATATAAATCTTGTCGTGGTCAAGATGAAACGATAATAACATTTTTTTTTTTTTTTTTTTTCTGCGATTAGGTAATATGAGGCACCTTACCCATAACAATATAATACATTTCCATTTCGAACATAATCCCTATGGTAATTATGTAAATTTATTTTGTTCACCGTTATTCCTACTTATTATAGTCGATGCTGGTATATGACGTTGGTGTGTATTATATATGTATGTATACCGGGCGTTATTTAATTGGTCAATAATAAACAATAGTTATACATCCCGCGAACGTCCGTATGATAATAGTGTGCTGTTTTATCTACGATTACGTTAAAATTAACGACGAAACAATACAAACTACGGTTACCAATGCAGGTACCTAATCGTTTATACCAATCTAATCGCAACGGCAACCGTTGCCTGACCCGGTGTGTACCAATAATACGCATCGTGTTCAAAATGGTCCGTCGAAAAATGCGTAATCGAACGCGTTTTTATCCGCCGTACGATCTTTAGTACGGTCATAACGTTTAGGAAAAAAAAAAAAAAAAACTAAAATAAACAACAATGGGTCCGTCGTATGTAAACGAAAAAAATAATTAATCCGTCTATGTGCATTCCGTAATTGAATATTATTATAATATTATCGTTTCGATCGTAATATCCATCGTAATATTCATCGTAAATTCGTACACAGTACACAAACAGTGGCGGCTACTTTCCCTTCCTTTAAAATACCTCCACGAGAAGATAGACCAATTTCCCTTCCATTTAACTTTTGGACTTTATCCAATATTAACCCTTTGCCCACTAGTGAAATTATTTTAACTGTATAATGTATATAAAATAAATTTGAGTAAGTCAATCAACACTTTTTAAAAATATTTAGAGTAAATATTCGAATACATATGTACAAAAAATAGTATTCAGAATATGTAATCGAATATTTTTTTTTCAACGGTAGTATTTTAAGAACAATTTGAATATTTTAAATTATATTTGACAATCACGAAAAATTAAATTTTAATGATTTCCACGAACATATTAAAATATATATAGACATTTCACTATGGTTAGTTTAAATTTTACTATGCCCCCAAAAAAGTTTCGGTCGAGCCGGTGCTCGCCCGGCTCGCCCCGTGCGCACACCTATGTGTTACCTTACACATAATTATAAGAAAAAAAAAATTGTATGCATAACGATATTACAGCAGTGTTTAGAAGTTTTTTTTTAAACTATTTGCAAGTTTTTATGATATTACGAAAAGGAAAAACGTACATTTATTCTGAAAGTCTCGTATAGGCCAGTTTTGATTTATTATACGTTACACGTTGTTACAATATAACATTACATTATAATCTCGAGTATCGTACAACGAAATACTTACAGAACAATGGTATAGATGCATGCAAATTAAGCTGGGTAAAAACAAAATATTCAACCAAAAGATTTATGAAAGTTTTTGTGTGAAAACTGAAAAGTATACTCGTCTGATGATCAAACTGAAACGTTATTGAATATAATAAACGAATCCGGTTAGGTTCTTTATCATGATAATATGATCGATTTTGAAATCCACCGAGGACAAGTCCCGGTGTTTATCTGAAGCTTCGGTACACTATTATCTAGTTTTATTTGATTACCGATAGAATGTGCTAAATTTCCGCGTGATAACGTTATCATTATCAAATAGATATCAGAATCTTACATGAATGACAAATAATTCACGACAGATTACACTTCTATTCCCGAAATTCACCCAAATAAACACCTTAAGATTTTTTTATCTTTGTTTTGCAAAGAGTGATGTATACAAATAATCGTTACCGAGAAATATATCCATAAATTGAAGCAATGAATCATTGATTCACTGTACATTCATGAATAAGGTATTATGGTTTTATCAAATATGACTACAAAAGTGGGAATCAGTTTGAGTATTGACCAGGTAGTAGATATCGTTCGCGTCACTAATGGTGGGTACGTTGAACAGTTATGCACTATCTAAACAAACTAAAACCAGCTACTTGTATATATTCTATATATTACTTATAGAATATAGGTAATTTTAGTTGGTGGCCGGCGACACACTTTTGTGGCATTTTGCAATTTACCGGAATTAATAGCAAGTCTCAGCTTGATGCGAATATATAGAACGATGATAATATTATCGTTTCGAGTGCAGATGAAACCCTTGAATACCTCGAAACACGGATCGACCGATAGTATTAAAATTCTTCATCACGGCGGAATGTATGAGTGGAACGCAATAATTTCGGTACAAAAGTTCAGCATAAAACGTTTCTTCGCTATCTAGTGGGAGCGGGCTCTTCGAGGACGGAAACAAGAGGAGGAATATCTAATGAAATTCCGGACTTCTTAGGTATCCTGATGCTGCACCATCGTATTATTCACTATAATCAACGAGTAGATAGTGTATACGAGTATATTAATGTTTTACTAGTACATTATCTTTACTTGCATTCTACGCAAACTTAAATAAAAACTCCGGAGTACTAAAATCCGGAAGTTGTAGGGGTATACAAGAGGAGGGCAACAGACATTCTCTTCTCTTTTCTCCTCACGAGAACATATTTTTTTTTATCGAAAGCGTGTTATTCTATAGTAGCGAACTTTAAACCCTCCTTTAAAGGGAGGGGATTATTATGTTATCCCCCCTCATGAGTTTGTTAACAATATCATTAAAAATAGTTGAATACATTAAAAAAATGTATATATTTAATTTTATTATTAACTGCAATAAATTATATATGTTATTTATTTTTGTATTCATTTTTTGACAACAGAAAACCAGTAACTTTACTAACATAATTTGGAACGTGACGAACATATAAAAGATCATTCTATTAAAAAAAAAGAACTGATACTACTGATGGGTGCGTGTCCACGGTTTGGAAGGTAGGATTCATAAAGTTATTTAATTTATATCTGTACTCGGCGATAGAATTATTTCTGACACATAAAATCAAATAAAAACTCGAACGTTTCAAATGACAATAAACAGTTCGAAAACCGCCAGAATATTTTGAAAATTCGATCACTTCTATAAAAAGCTAATATAAATATTTTGTAAAAAAGCGTGGCCTTAATTTTTACCGAATTACAAAAGAAGAAAAAAAAAAAACAAAAAACCGATACGGCTGATAAAGTACCACAGTTATATTACGTAGCTATGATTGATGTACAATATTTAAATACGTATTTATGTGCTAATTGGTATGTTATAGTTATCTAAAACAGTATTGCGCAACTTTTTTTGATCCACGAACCCCCAAAATTATTTATTTTGATGTCACGACCTCCCTTCCTACCAACATTATGTAAGTGTACAATATATACTTATTTAATGGCATTTATGTATACAAAAATTGTATTCATAATACATCGTAATTAAATCGTTAATTTTAGGCAATTTTAATATTTCTTTTATTTATTAAAGAAGAATATAGATAAAGAATTATCTATTATTTTTCTTTTTCTTTTTTAGCATAACTATTACTATTTGTATTATTATGTTAGAACAAATGTTCTACTCTTTACTAAAGCTCAAATGTATTATCTAATTGTATTCAAAGTACATCGTCCCTTAATTATTACTAAAATAAATAAATTTAATTAATTCAAAACATAAAAAAAAAAATATATACAAAATTAAAGTTTTATGAAATCTAAAATAAAAAGAAATACTGAAATTATTATGATTATAATGAAAATTTAAATATTTTTAAAATAATAAAATTACTACCTAGGTATTGCATGATTACATGATACGATTTTAATGAAGGGCCTGAGCTTGCATTGTAGACATGATTGATTCCACGTTTGGTTTGATATTTGTCACTGCTACTATTAAATAAATATATAAAATAATAAACATAGTATACAACTTTTTCATTTGATGTTAAATTATTTACGACCCTCTAATAAAATTTTACGACCCCCTTAGAGGTCACGACTCCAGGTTGCGCACCACTGATCTAGAATCTAAAAGTGCCATCCGATTCTATAACAATTTCAATTTCATTCAAATAATGTCTTATCAATTTTTAAATTGGTTAACTCGATGAAACGAACGTTCGTCATACGAGTATAATAATAGTAAAGGTATAATATTATATACTCAAACAAACTATGGCATTCTAAAAATTACCTGTATCCTATAAACGTCCAAATTTTTGTATGATTAGAGCTGGTATGTGACACAAGTAACTAAATCGATGTTCAAAACGTCCAAAAA